TCATGCATATATTCTTTGGACAAATTTGGAAGCAGGACATATGGATTGCATTTTGCGAAAAGGAACCACTAGCATTGCAATGATGCTAAGATTGTGCAACTTCATCTTTTGCAATAAAATTGCGGAAATCGTGAAAAACTATGAAATTTAGATGGTAATTTTTGTCTTAAATTTACAGTTTTTAGCGAGTAAAAAACTATGAATGGATAATCGGGTTTTTCCTCCAAGACAAAAGGAGTTGCACAATCTTAGCAACATTGCAATGCTAGTGGTTCCTTTTTGCAAAATGTAATCCAATTATAGAATACAGCAGTTCGTAGAGTCGTAGACGAATTTTTGAAGTCACTTTAGGTCAGTCTAAGGCAGTGATAGAAAATCGCAGCAGTGGGCTATAATTTCCTTTTTCAGAAAGTACTTTTGTCGACGATTTATATGAACGGATTTTTGTCGTGTCAGTAAAAATTGCTGAACTTTATTGCGTAATTCATATATGTCAGGGCTCTTTTTCCTGCCATCGTAAGATAATGAGCTTATGATGTGTAAAAATGACATAACAACAGATTTGCCGTCTGGTTGTTATCCATTTTTACGCCGCGATCAGCGGGCGGTGAAGAGCATCAAGCTAAGGTAGGTTCGGTTAGGTTAAGCAACTAAACTAACGCCGCGGTGAAGCTCAGGGTATCAAGCGAAAATGAAGGCGCTTCGCTACGCTCTCACACATCACTTTTACATCTAGGAGTTTGATGCCAATGGCTTGTGCGGCCTGTCTTGAGTTTGGTTCCCTTCTTGGGCCGGAAACTGTCTATTTTATAAGTAAATGGGCCTGTTGAAAACTTTTGCTAGAGCTAAAATAACAGAAGTTTCTATCAGTAAATAACGATAGCGCACGATAAACGCATTGGCAAAGTTTGAAATGCACTCTTAACTTTCCAATCTGCATGAGAAATTTGCATTTTTTTTTTTTTTTAGCTTTCCAATTCAAAAACGATGCTACGGCACAGGTGAACATTTCGTTAGAAAAGTCGTCCTATTCAGCCCCTGTGCACTAGAATACTTCACAATATTCAAAATGGCCGACACCAATCCGCCTAAACCCATATGTGCCTGGACGAGATTCTAACCATTTGTTAACAACCCAGCGTGTTTACATTCACAATTTCTTCGCGTTGATAAAGATCCGCTTTCGTTGACCTTATGCTCCCGATTGCGAATTGCGCGCGGAAGTGTCGGTTATTTTGGTTATGGTTGTTGTGAACGGGTTGAATAGGACATCTCCTTTAACGAAATGTTCACATGTGCCGTGGTATCGTTTTTGAAGCTGGAGGCACCAAAAAACGCAAATTTCTTACGCAGATTATGAAATTAGGAACGCACATTCTAACTTTGCCAATGCGCTAATCGTGCCTTTTGAGACATTTACTGATAGAGACAACGCACTGGGAAAAATAAACACATTGGATCTAGAGTCCTGGCTATTGAAAACATTGACAAGAAAAAATACTCTTGATTCAATCGGAATTTTGCTTGAATCAAAACGAAATCCGCTTAAATTAAGAGGCTTGGTTCTTGATTTAAGCCTAAATCTGATTGAATCAAGAGTACTATTTCTTGTCGATGTTTTTAAGAGTCTGGACTCTAGATCCAATTTGTTTTTTTTTCCAATGCTGTTGCTTTTGCTCTGGCAAAAGTTTGCAACAGGCCCATTTCAAATGGAAATATTCAACGATTTGCACGTATTTTGCGTGATAATATTACAAGGAAACACATCTCCAGGTTCTTTAATTCTAAATCTTCGCGATGGTCTCTTCGTCAAGTTTTGCGTGGCGTGGATTCTCACTTCTGCGGAGTCTGGAGCGTTGCGAACACTGTCAGACCATCGGTCGAGTCAATTCTGATGGAAATACGCTCGCTCCGCGGTAGGGATTAGATCGAAGATGATTTGAAATGCAGAAGCCTCGGGACGGATTTTCATCTCTCGGTGTCAGTTTGCTCTGAGGTCTTCCTGGAATACGTGCCAGTATATACTCTTCAGATCTGAGACACAAACACTTTGAAAACCTCGTGCACAAAAATGGCTGCGAGCTCTCTCCTTGTCTTCTAACTCGCATTTCTTGTTCTCAAAAGCAGGCGCCTCTATGAGCAACTCGACTACAAAACACATTTGATTATCATTCTGCCATAATTTGAGAAAACGCTGCATGAACAATCACACGTAGCTCCTCAAATTTCCTCTGACACTGCCTGCATGTGTCAGGAGGACCTACTCACTTAAATGAAGCGCACTCAAACATTCGCTTTAAAGTGTACTTCTCCTTCATACAGATGATCAGGCACAAAAAAATCGCATGGGAGGAAATTGTTGCATTGCACATGATCAACTCGCATCAAAATTTGATTCAGAATCTTATACACATACTTCAATACAGCCGTGCTAAGGAAATACGCCGTGTGAGCCTTCATGCGTTGCCATACTTCCTTTAATTACCTGTGAATTTATTGGGAAAATTCTGAATATTTTCCCCCCAATTTTTTAGACGATTTTGTTCCCAATTAAATCTAAAATATCGGAAAATTTTAAAGAACAATATGCATAACTTTCTTCAAAAATAATGCTTTATTCGAGGAAATTTGGCAGCTACCAAATGTTCGTACGGCATTCTTCCTTAGCATGGCAGAATGAGACCAGCATCATCCATATGTTGTCCACGGTGATAGGGGTATTTATTGCGTTTTAAGCCTCACTTGAAAATTTTTCAAAATTATTTGGTCCCCTCTTAGTTTAAATTATCCCGGTTTCATTCATTAATGGATGTAGTATCCACATCGAATGGAAATCCCTAATCTTATTTTCGCGTCCTAAAAACTAGCCTTTCTCAAATTTCCCATTCTCTTCTCCAGCTGACATCTTGCCATTTCGACGCCAACGATGAGGCACTTGCCCCTTTCTCTCCTTCCTTCATACGGTGATGGCTTCATTCATAAAAGATTGGAAAGAAATTGCTTCTAGAAATGGTTTTTTATGAACGGAGAGTATGAATCGATCAGGCGGGCGGATAGACGGGCGTCTGTCAAAAGGTGAAACATAAAAATTCAGCGCTAGATTGCTGAGATCGTGAGACTGCATGATTTTTCAATCCGCGAAACGCATGTTTCCTCTGCCTCTTCCTGGCTGTATTCTCGTTATGTTATGGCTCCTTATTAAAGGAATTTTGCGCGTATGGTCTGTATCCCTCTTCTGCTATGCTTGGATGCGATAAAATGAGATTGAATGACTGCGACGGTTGGATGTGCACTCATCCGGTTGGACGCTCGTAAATTTCGCAGAATTCCCATTTTCCGAAAGTAAAAATTCTACCGCTCATTCCCGGCAAACAATTGTAAATCCCGCCGATGATGGAAGAGAAAAATATTTTTGGAACGGTCCGGTGACTCTCACAATACAAGAGCATCACATACAAATGTTATCTATACGAGTTTTCAGAGTTGATATCTATAGCTGATTGCAAGCAGCTTGCATGCAGGCAGCTGTGTTGCCAACTTTGGCGTGGATGACAGTTATTTCCACAGTTTAAAAAAAGTCCATCTTCATTGGAGGTATATTTCGGAACTTTCTACCGACCCGACCCTTTTTCATAAAGTGATCGTTTTCAATACATTCATGAGAAAAAAACCTTATGATAATCTCAAACTTAACTTATCGGTGAGCAAATTTGTATTCCTTGAAAAGTGTGTGCTTTCTAACTAACACACTTGCCTGCGGAATTTAAACTTTCACACGATAGCAAATCTGCGGAACTTACAATTTGAAATCGGGGTAAATCGGCAAAATTTACTCTCCCAGAAAAAGGGAATTGACGGAATTCACAACTTCCCATCCGCATTTGATTTAAGAATTCATATTGAGTAAGTCGCCTGTCCAAAAAATGATACTTCTTATTACTTTCTTAAATACAAGCAAAGGACGCATAACCTACTTCTATAATCGACTAGATCATCTCACACGAGAATATTCGAGATTTGGAAGCACAATCAGCAGAAATTGCATAATTTGAATAAGAAATTCTGAAATGCCATCTTTGCCCTCCTCTCGAAAACAAATATGAAAATTCGTGGTGGAATGCTATTTGCTCCTCTGCTTTGAGATTATAAACGCTTACTTTATTAAAAATCAAAAATTGATCCAAATTTGAAAACCGAGTACCTAACGTTGTTTTGAAAAATAAATGAATTCACTAGTTAAATGCTTAATCCCATGGTCACTTCATCTCATTAATAATGTCTGTCCACAAAAATTAAATTGCTTGCTATAATATCGCAGCAGAGGAACTAGCAACGTCAGCTCTTGGAATAACACCAATATATTTGAACAGCGAGTCAACAAACCCTTTTCTTCGGCCCGAAGAGGTATGACCTCTTCTCGACGATAAATGACTTTTTGTAGGATTTGCAAGCAAGTTTGTTGCATGGGAAACAAACGGGTTGCCTTTCTAAAGGTAGAGGCTGGAATTTTGGAAAATCGGGAGCATTTTTGAGAGTTCTTCGGCATAATTTTTCATGAAATTAAACATCTGTGCGTGCTTCCAGTTCCTTTCTGTGTGGTAAGTTCTTCAGAATTCTCAAATGACGCAAAGCGTCGATATATCCATTCCTGTGATACAATACAACGTTTTTTCTTTTTCAAAAAAAAAAAAAAAAAAAAAAACATGCCTTGAAAAATACTATAGACAAACAGTGAATTTTCGACCACATTCATATTTCTAAAGCAAAAATCTTAAAAAGTAGGGAGAATTAAATGCTTTAAATAACTGTTTTCAAGCCGCCCCCCCCCTCCCATAGAATTGAAGTGACATTTTTTCCGCGCTTCTTCGATATACAGTCTTTTTCTTTGCAAAAAAAATCCGTTTTTGATGAACGCTGCCTGATCAGAGAGAGGAGGAAGGGAGCAAGAGAGTTTGAGGTATGAAAAGCGGGAGAAAATTCCGAATTTGAAGCATACGCACCTATTCCTCCGTGCAATTATCTGCAGTCGAGAAAATGGTTCAAATCTGTTGCCTCGAAGCACTTAGACTCACAAAACTGTGCAAATATAACTCCAGGGTCATAAAACCGACGGAATCATTGCCACTACCGACACCAAATGAGAATAAAAGGCGCGACCCGCAAACACCATAAAAACAAACAGCTTTTATCGCCCGAGGTCTATTGTTTCGCCGAGAGACCGAGTCTAACAAAATTCAATCCAGCACAGAGCTCCTTAGCGTCATGATTCAGTCAAGAGATAATTAAAAAGTAAAGGCTGCTCCGAGGGAAAGGATCAGAGGGGTTCACAGGGGAGGAGGGAAGAGGGGCGGATAAACACAATTATGAAACAGAATTATTGTACATGTTTTCGCTACTTTTCCTCCGGGGAAAAATCGCTTTTCGTTCGGGTATTATTGAATATAAACAGAGTGTCGCGATTGAAATGATCTCTGTCATATGGGGGGAGGGGGTTGTCAGGAGAAATTTTTTCGTGGCGAAGTGTTCAAGTCGAGAACTGACTGCGTCCGAGAGAAGCAGGGCGTCTCAAAGGCTGACCCGGAGCGAACTGAGAGCACGGTCACGCATAATAAACAGTCGCAGCATCCCTGCGGGCGCGCAAAGGGCGCGAGCCGAGCCGGAGATTCCCGAGGACGCCCGAACTCCGGCGCAGCGCGTCCGGACTCCAGGCTCCGGCCTCCGAGTTCCGAGCTGAGAGAAAAAAGTTAGGGCAGTTATTATCGTTTTAATGCCTCTTGTTAAAAAAAAAAAAAAAAAAGTAGGTAAAAGAAGAAAGTAGCGTAATACCTAGCAAGGGACTCCCCCCCGTTAATAATTATTATTCGACGGAAAGTTGCGATACGAGACACAAAGAAGAGTCCGTGATTGAGTTGAAGAAAGAGAGACGTTTTTAAGATTCATCGCCAATAAAGAACTTTAGATCGGGCCTGAAAAGCTTTCAAGTAATTTCCTGTCCACTAAATTAAAAACATCTCTGGAGCGAGGGATCCCGAAACTTTTGCCGTATTTTATTATTTCTTTCGATTCAATCTCGAATCCCTCCCGCGCTAGTGAGCATTTTATTTCAGGTGACATTTCATTTGTTATTATAGGTTTGGAAATCTAATCAGTCCAACTTCCCCGATTCTATCTCGCGGCAGGTAATTGAAGATATCAATTTTTCTGAAATATAGGCTCCGAGGTACAGAATGGGGGGGGGGGAGGATAGCGGAATCCGTTAGCTAGTAGAATAGTGCTGGGTCCACACTGAAGGTTGTGTGGAGGATAAAAAACGAGGAATATGATCAAAACGCTGTTAAACTTTGCGGGCACTGGTAAATGAACAAGGTCATTGGTCAAACTGGTGAAATGAAGTAACTTCACATGCTCACCTTGCTACGTAGAAGCGAGTGAACATGGTCAAACTGGTGCAAGCAAGAATTATTACGGCTCCAAAAACGTTTGAAACTGCAAGTAAAATTTTTGAAGGCGAACTGGTCACCGTGGTGTAAAACACTGTGAACGCAAAGTAATTTCATGCATTCTTGACTTTAAAAATGTGACAGGTAATCTGAGCGTATTTGGAGCAGTAATATACTTGCTTGCGCCAATTGACCATGTTCGTTTTACCTATGTCTGCAAAATTTAACATCATATCTCCCATTTTTGCCCTCCTCTTCAGTGTAGTGTGGGCCCAACACTATCATCTATCTAGCCAGTTACTTACACGATGTCTTGGCCGCATTTTGAGTTTTGTTGCCTCTCTCTTTCTCCCCGCTCCCTCCCTCTCCCTTTCTCTCTTGAAGAATCTGCCTTTGTACTTCACTAGTTAAGGCAAAGTTAGAAGCAATACATATTTAATCCTCGAAAGGCACCGCACCGGATTCCGTTGAATAAAAAGTTTAGGAAATTTTACTTTTTCCACAGTTTTAAGGGTCATTCATTCCTGGCTGCGGTCGGGATTTTAGCCGAGTAGAGAACAACAAGAGGGTAATTTTTTTCAGTGGTAATTATTCTTTCGTTTCCTCCAGCATTTTGCTCCATAACTTTAAGACAACTTAACCTAAATTAAACCCACTTTTAACGAAAAAAGAGCAATAATAAATGAACAAATAAACAACGCCGCGCAGTTGCATTTGCGAAAGGATACGTTGAGCTGAGCATTAGGGGTCGTTAGCAAACAAATAAATTGTGCAGGGAGATAAACGGTTCAAATAATGCCGCGGAGGATTGAAACTTTAATGTAAATATTAAGGCTTGCAATTAGTGGACGAGAGGTTCTCCGGCGGCTCAGGGCACGTACAGTGAAGCTCAAGGAGCAGGACTCTTCGAGTTAGTCACTTACAGTTTTACACTTTTTGACGCTTCCAATTAGTGCGAGCACAGACTTTCATATTAAGGGCCGTATTTAAGATCGTGTCTAAAACAGCTCCATCCCGTAAGGGGACCCAAATTGTTTTAGCGAGATGGAGAGAGGATTGAACGCAGCGCCAGCTAATTGACACCTTTATAATGAACTCAAATCTGAAAATTAAACAGGATGACTTCAAAAATAAATTCTTGCAGGGAAAAAAAGAATACTATCAATACTATGTTACCTATATTAATGAGAAAATTGAAACAAAATGGTAGGGAAATTATTTATGTGAATGAAGGGAATGAAGGGAATGAAGGGAAAGAAGGGAAAAACGGAATGAGGGGAATGAAAGGAATGAAAGGAATGAAGGAAATGAGGGGAATGAGGGGAATTAAGGGAATTAAGGGAATGAGGGGAATTAAGGGAATTAAGGGAATGAGGGGAATTAAGGGAATGAAAGGAATGAAGGAAATGAAAGGAATGAAGGGAATGAAGGGGATGAAGGGAATGATGGGCATGAAGGGAATGATGGGCATGAAGGGAATGAAGGGAATGAAGGGAATGATGGGCATGAAGGGAATAAAGGGAATGATTTCAGAAAGTTTGAAGGTAGCGCAGTTTTTACCTAAATTAAATTCTAACAAACTCTGACGGCTTTTGCTTTCACACATTTGGCTTTTGTCGTAGCATATTATGATACCAATTTGCTAAAAAGATCATTTTACAAAAATCCTGGGCTGAATTTCACTTACTGTTATTCCAAAATTTAATTTATTCAGGAGCTTGTGTAAGAGTTCAAACTTAAAGAGGGTAAGAGGTTAATTGTTAGCGGAACGTAATTTGTGAACGACTCTCACAGTACTTAACAAAAGCTATTAACTCGTATGTTAATCTGTTTCCTCGAACAGATATGATGAGTCCACGCAAATGAGTGTATTGCGCAGAAATGGAGGAAAAATAATTCAAATGCTTGACTCAGGATATTTAGGGCAGTTATAAGTTTCAAAGGTAGAGCATGGACATGACTGCAAAGAACTTCATTTTCTGCGCTACTTAAATTAAGCGCTGAGGCTCACGGATTTACAGTTTCCGAGTTTTCTCTCTAGGTAAAATAAATTGAAACTCGAGAGGAGAGCAGAATTTCTTATTATTCCTCTTTTAAAGAATCTAACTGCTGATAATTCTCTCAACATAACTTAAGATCAAAGATCTTAATTGTACCGTCTCAGCTTCGGCATCTTTGAGCATCTCGGCTCATCTCGGCATCTTCGTCTGTTTAGTTTTGCAATCAGGCTTCTCTAGATGGGTCTGTAAGAAGGATAAACTGGAATCAATACGATGCGAACAATCACTTTTTACGTTTCAAGACTCTTAGAGTTTTTAAGTTGAACTCAAATCTGATCGTTGCGCATTATAATTATTACAATCATGTTGTTTTCTATCTGAAAGAGAACAATGCCATTATTTTGATTCCACTTATAATTATAATGGGGGTACAGGTGCAGAATTACAATTACAATTCATAATACACTTACTTTATCGAGGTTGACTTAACGTATGGGATTGTAACGTAATGCATAACACTGTGAAAAACGTTTGCACACAGGCCCGCCACATCCCATCTCGGGCCCTGGTACCAGTTTTAAGGTCCGGGTCTCAAGCACGGAGGGGGGGGGGTCCGAGGGGCATCCCCCGAGAAATTTTAGAATTTATACGACTAATCGGACGCATTTTGAAGCTTTCATAAATAATTCTTTCCATCAATTTCTGCGGAATAATTATGGTTTTTTTTCTTCCTACTTTCAGCACAAAATACTTGCGAATTGTTGCATTCAAAACATCTGGAAAATTTTTATTTTTTTTGGGGGGGGGGCATATGATGCTATTTTCAGTTCTAATGAGGGCCAGGCCCCCCTGGACTCCCCCTTCGTTTGTCAAGTGGTTAGAAATGAAAACAAAATACTATGAACTATGCAAAACGATTATTCCGATAACGGAACTTGGCTGTTTTGAAAACGCCTTCAGATGCGGCGTGATACCTCACGCATTCCGGAGAGTTCAAATAGTTGTATCATTGCGCCGTATGAATGTGACGGAAGATTTAAATGGAAATAGCCTTCATGCAGGCTCGCCACATCCCATCTCGGGCCCTGGTACCAGTTTTAAGGTCTGTGTCCCAAGCACGGATGGGGGGGGGTCCGAGGGGCACCCCCCGAAAAATTTTACAATTTTCCCGGCGTGTCATTTCCCTTGGTCTATTTCCATGCTCTGTAGGTTCCGCTTGTCTTACTTGTGGTACTGTTTCAAGAGATACATGACCAAAACAGTCGAAGATATGAAAGACGTAATCCGGCCTCGTTTTTTTATGTTTCTTCTGAATGGGAGTGACACCTCACTAGCAGCATCGAGCTGATGTCTTAATTACATCAAGTCTCACACCGTCGCGCCTTCAATTTTGGTTATCCAAAATGCAAAACTAGTGTCCATTTGATTTATTTTCAATTGTAAGCTTTAACCGCCAGAACTTCAATATGGCTCGACATTACTCAGCGTTTTTGTGTTGAAATGTGCAAAGAACATGCCCTACGTCCCGTTGTGAAAAAATCAATTTTGAGTTTTAGAACTTGGATCCCTTTTCTCCGAGGAGAGAAATATATTTTCACGCAACCATTTAAGTTCAAGGGTCGGAGTTATTGATTTTTATTTTCCCTCATTTATTACATTTGAAATCCATTTTAATTTTTAACTATGATACTATTCAAGAGAAGAAAAAATTAGGCTTCTTATAAAACGCGCTGATCAGCGATTTCACGGATTCATTTCGGAAAACGTGAGAGACACGAGGAACAAACCAGTAGACCGAATCGATATTGATACCCGACCACTCAATTCACAGTTGTAAAGCTCGGGCGCATTTTTGAGCGATTGCAGCGAGCAGAGGTTCTCGGCGAACATGCGGTGAATATAATATGGTCTCGGCGAGGAGGTTACGCTCACGGCAGACATTCATATGAACTCGGCTCCATCGAACGGATGCAGGAATTGGCTGTATTCTGAATACTAATAATAATGAATATGCGCATGATAAAACGATCGTAACGTNGGGGGGGGGGGGGGGGGGGGCGCCCTCTGCCGACGACGGCCGAAAGAAATCGGCGAGGATTCGTCGAAAAATCGCACGGAAGCGTGCACCATACCGGGTCGGGCTGAGGGA